GTGTTTGTGACCAATAAAAGACCTTGAACCTAAATATATTTCTGATATTAGATACAATTAATGCTAATTGATAGATAACAAACATCTGACACAACTGCAGATGTCTTCACAACAAATATGATGAATGAATGTGTTTTCATCAGTGTATAATACGCATATAAAGTATATGTTTTATCAGCCAATCAGCATGCAGTTAGAATTGTGTTTCAGTGGAAATGATCTCATGTAAAATTGCGGCAAGAAAATCTACTTTAGTTCTGGAAAACACTATATTCTTCTTGACATAATCATTTTCTCGTAACTTTTTGGCACCACAGCTGCTGGAATATTGTTTTTCTCAGTAAATCTGATTACATTTTAAACTCCATTGCCAGCATGCATTACATTTACCACAATTTATACGTTTCTGCTTTGTTCTCACGTTTCTTTTGTTCTGCTCTCCTCTACAGATCCTACAGATTTTTCCGAGAGTCCATCGGTTCGAGGAGAGAGCATGAAGACGAGCTGTGTCGCGTCACGCTGCAGTCCAACCGGATATGACATAACATGGGTCCCCTGCTAATCGCCATGATGCTCAGACTGGCACTGTAAAGCCTTCACCCCTTCTTCAGCACCCAACCCAGACCATCCTCCTCTTCGGAAATCCTTCCTAGCAACTTTTGTTGCTTCCCTTTTTCTCCTGCAAACACATCCTCCTTTCCTGTCTGCCTCTCCTAAATATAGCTCGCCTACTTTCTCATTTCTTTTCATCGGCGTCATGCAGGGCGTTTCTACCACCTCCACTCTCCTCTTTCTCATTCTTCCCTCCCTCCTATTTTTCTCCTATTTCCCCAACATGGTCAGCGGGGACTGCTGGCTCATTGAGGGGGACAAAGGCTATGTGTGGCTGGCCATATGCAGTCAGAACCAGCCGCCGTACGAGACTATCCCCCAGCACATCAACAACACGGTCCACGACTTGAGATTGAACGAGAACAAGCTGAAAGCTGTGCTCTTCAGTTCCATGTACCGCTTCACCAACTTGACTGACCTCAATCTCACCAAGAATGAAATCAGCTACATCGAGGACGGAGCTTTTGCGGGGCAAGCCAATCTGCAGGTGAGGAGGAAACGGGAGCGAGCTCAACACGACAACACAGCACAGAACGCGTTAGGCATTAGTGTTGGACTTGTTTGTTCATTTTGGCTACAGCCTGAATATGATGATGATGAATTTTATAAAGATAATTCCAGAAAATGTTGTGAAATCCACTACAAACTGCTTTTTGATTATATTTTAGAATGAAGATTTATTTCGTATTCTCTGCAATAATTCATATATTTCATCTATTAAACATTCATTAGAAGAATATTATTTATTAAACTGGGGATAGCTGTGGTTTTTCTATAACGTCCCCGAGTACATTCTGTTCCATTCACTATAAACCATGAAGAACTAACGTATGGAAGCAAGTGTACTCATAATTATTTCATTAAAAAAATGCAATTTGCAGTGAAGTGACGATGTCTTCACAACAAAAATGGCAAGAATAGTTTCTATTTATTATGCAATTTCATGCAAAGTGAAGTAATGAACTCAATCAAACCAATATTTGGAGCGATATTTGCTTTGATTTTTAAAAAAAAATCTACTTGACATGTAGGTTCATCCTACAGCATTTCAGAGAACTTGCAGCAGTTTGTCTGTTGGTTTTGACGGTCTCAGTTGTCCCTTTTTACGTAATTCCCAAACTGACTCGATGATGTTGGGAACAGGGCTCGCTGGGGACCAGGCCATCTGGTGAAGGACTCCCTGTTCTTCTCGCCTCTAAAGATAGTTGTTTGTGGCTCTTGTTTTATGTTTGGAGTCGTTATCTTGCTACAGAATAAATCCAAACCGATATGACCCTGATATTGTCCCTAGCATGTTATTTACCTATCCATGGGTTCTATGATCCAAACAGATAAACTAAAAGCATACCACACCAATACCAGATGCTAATTTGCAACACCATCCCCAAAATGCCTAAAACATTTGCATAATACTTCCGCGAGACAGATTCCTAGTGATTAATTATGAAATAGTGTTATTAAAAGTGTAAATTCTGGTGTTTACACTGTTTTGTGTTTTTGCCAGGTTCTTCAGCTGGGCTACAACAAGCTGACAAACCTAACTGAGGGCATGATGAGAGGGCTCGGCCGCATGCAGTGCCTCTTCCTGCAGCACAACCTCATCGAGGTCATTGCCAGCAATGCATTCTGGGAGTGCCCCAGCCTCAGCAGCATCGACCTGTCATCCAACAAACTGGCCCGCATCGACCCGTCCACGTTCACGGTTCTCAGTCGCCTCATGGTGTGTGAACTGGCGGCGAATCCTTTCCATTGCGGCTGCGACCTGTACAGCTTCCTGACCTGGCTGGAGTTCTTCAACAACGTGTCGCACACCTACGACCGCCTCCAGTGCGAGACGCCGCGGGAGATGTTTGGATTCCCTTTACTGAGCCCCATCGCTGCCGGCCACGCTGGTCGGAACGCCAAGAACATTTTGTACCATCACTGCCGCGATGGTGTGATGATTCCGGGAATGACCTCTCTCCCGCCGGATCTGGACGGTCCATCTGGGATCGGACCGGAGATGTTTGGTGGTGTGGGGCCCTACCACCAGCCCACTACCTCCTCCTCATCCACGGAGGACAGCTTCAGTCCCAGCATCAAGCTCCATCATGTCTCTTTGTCATCGGCCTCTCTCCTGGTCAAGATCCCAAGGCCCTACACCAAAATGTACATTCTAACACAGTACAACCACACGTACGTATCCGACGTCATGAATTTGAAGAACAAGAAGGAGATGATCACCCTCAACAAGCTCAAGCCCCACAACAATTACACCTTCTGCGTAGCATCTATTCGCAACTCTCAGCGCTACAACCACACCTGCCTCCAGTTTTCCACTCGGGGTCAAAACCAGGATGATACACTTCCCACACCTTCCACCACTACTCACTACATAATGACCATTGTGGGCTGCCTTTTTGGCATGCTCATTGTTTTGGGCTTTGTGTACTATTGTCTACGTAAGAAACGGATGCATGATGAGAAGAAGAAATCCATCTGCGTCAAGAAAACTATACTCGAAATGCGCTACGGGCCAGAGGTGGCGGCAGCAGTAGCGAATGATCCATCGGCGGTCCACAAGCTGCAGGAACAGTCCAGAGAACATCACCAGTATCAGCATCACCACGGAGGAAAAATGCCCATGTCCACATCCTCCAGCTCGGGAATGCTCCACTCAGCCAACACCACCTCCTCAAGACTGTCCTCTATCCCGCAAGTGGAAAAAATGGCCACTGCCTTCTCAGAGGCCATGGCTACGAGTAAAGGAAACTATATGGATGTGAGAACTGGAGGGGCAGGGATGGAGAGGATGGGAGACGGTGGGCATGTGGGGATGAGGGGGGAAGACTTGAGGGATGATGATGGAACTGATCTTGGCGATGACTCTGATGATGATGGACATGGTTCCGCATCAGAGATCTCCACCATCGCCATGGAGGTGGACAAGGTCAACCAGATTATTAACAACTGCATTGATGCGCTGAAACTGGATGCAGCAGCAGTTGCTGCTTCGGGGGCTTCTACTAACCCCACTGTTTCCTCAAATCCCACCTCCCCACCACCCACCAGCACATCCTCCCTAACTCGTGGCCTGATCCCGCTCTCCCAAGGAGTGACGGAGACATGTCAGGTCATGGCTCCCAACAAAATACCCCCTCCGCCTCCACTCCCGGCCTTGAACGCCCCTCTCTCTGAGCGCCCAGGGATTAGTGGCGGTGGCTTTGTCGTCACTCCCCCCTACAGGCCTCCACCTCCAGCCACCGCTGTGCGCCCCATTCAGCGGCAAATGAGTGCAGATGCAGCTGTGGTTATTGTAAATGCTGTCAAGAAACAGTGCAGCACCACATCTTGTGGCTCCATGGGTCGCGACAGGGAACGCGGTGGAGCCAGAGTGTATAGTCTGGACGTTCCTGAGCCGAGGAGTCCGGATGCCTGTAATCAACAGCAGCAGCAGTACTCCGACCGGGCCAGTCCTGTGGGCTGTGGGGAGCCCCTGGAGAGGCTGCCTTTAGTCGGGAGCGGGAGCTGTGGTGGAGGGGGTGGTGGTTGCGACAGTGGTGGTGTTGGTGCCCAACATCAGGACAACCAGAAGCCGCACCATTACCATCAACAGCAGCAAATACAACAGCAGCAGCAGCAGCAGCTGGAGGTGCAGCAGGACTACCACTGCTCGGAGCACCGCCACTCCGTCCCAGCTCTCTATTATGAAGGGTCCCACCAGGGCTCCCCTGCCCAGAGAGTTTCCTTCCTTAAGCCCCTGACACGCTCCCGCAGGGACGCAGCGTCTTACTCCCAGCTTTCGCCTGCTCGGCACCATTCCAGTTACTCGGGCTACTCCTCGAGCCCAGAGTACTCCTCAGAGAGCTCGCTGCGGATCTGGGAGCGTTTCCGTCCCTACCGGAAAGGCCAGCGTGACGAGGCCTGTTATGTGACGGCCGGAAATGCCCTTCGAAAAAAGGTGCAGTTTGCTAAAGGCGAGGACCTGCATGACATCCTTGATTACTGGAAAGGTGTGTCAGCACAGCAGAAGCTGTGATTGGGACCAGAGTTAATCGTTGTGGGAAAAAAGAGTTAAGATACTTCTTTTCTTGATAGGCCTGTGGGCCAGAGAAACCATTTGAAGTTCATGGGGAGAAAAATGTAGGACAAAATTTTGCCTTTGGGTTTTTTTTTTTTGTTTTTTTTGTTTTGGCATGCTAGGTGTATAGAATATTGTGCTAAGAGCAAGGACTGTGAAACTGTGCCTGGAATCTGAGAGTCATTACAGTGTTTTGTTTTACACTTCATTGTAGCACCTTTTCTGGATCATTCTTATTTACTGGGTACGGATTTGATTTTTAATCCAGGGAGCAAATGCCAACTGTGTAATTTTCTTTGAGCGGTCACGTTTGGTGATCCAGTGGACCATCTTTACCAGTGCCATGTTTCGATCTGTGGGTAATCACAGAGGATAAATGCTGATATCCTTCATTTTAGGCTTGTGCGATCCCAGATGTTTCCTGTTCTGTATCGGGTGCCGCGTCAGTTCGCAGCATCGGATATGATTAGACTTCTAAATGAAGGGAGACTATGACGGGGTGGGATCTGTTAAAATTAACATGCGGATTAGCGAACAGACTTGTCAAATGCAGGCACCGTCTCTCTTCTTTGACATCCGGTCTTTGGGTTGAGGATTTTGCATTTCCAAGGCATCTGTCACACAGGAATAAAAGGGACAGTAGAATAAAGGAATTAAAAAAAAGAAAAAAAAACACACGAGGTAGAAGACAATAGTCAAGTGGGCATGAAGGGAATCATAAACGAGGGATAACCTCGGCTTCAAAACAGTGATCGTGGCGTTGAATCCGTCTGCACTAGATGCATGGTTTTGGTGAATGATTAGAGAATGTTCTCAAACAAGTGCACCAAACTATCCTGAATTGCATTTGCCTGAGTAATCGCAGTCTTAGTTTAAAGCATTAAAGAGGACACGTTAAGGATCCCTTAGATTATACTTAACCGATACAAAAGGGTCATTTTATCGAGTAAAGAGAGATTAAAGTGACGCAATCTAAAGTTAATAACAGCTACATTGGTTCACAATGCAAAACTTAGGCTGTAAAGTTGTGAGATGCCATGTGTTTTGTTTCTTTTTCTTTTTCTCAGTCTGCGTCCACATCACATGACTTGCAAGTTTCTTTTGTGCATAAAAAGAGCAGCAAAGTTTGCACAGGAGGCCAGTGGTGGAATTACCAAAACACTTCTTGTTCAGATCCTGGTTTTGGTTAAAACACACCCATGCCAATGCCACCCACCGGTTGTTTTCTAGGTTACTCGGATACCAGTGCTGCTACAAGAATAACCCCTGAGCATCTCGCAGTTTTACAACTTACAGGGCCAACGTAGCCGGAGACGGGACCGGGTAAGCTCCCACAATCTCCTTACAAAAAGCCACAAGAGATGTGGCCCACATGTGAAAGAGACCAAGAGAAATTGAAAGCACGACGGGGGTACGAGAGGGAGGAAAAAAAAAGAGATCAAGAGGTCAATTGTGGATACAAATAATTTTCAGCAGCCACAGTGAATGTAAGTAGATTACAAGCAGGTTGCAGGGAAATCTATTTTCATCGTTCAGCGTGAGCGCCGCGGTACATTCCAAATCCTTTCTCTGACATTAAAACCGAGTGGGGCACAGAGGGAAAGGACACTTCCGATTACTGCCAAACGTGTCTGTTCTGTTTTCTGGAAACTTTAACGCTATTGTCGTCTTTAATTGATAACTCAATTAACCAACTTGTGACAGGCATGTCTGCTTGCACTTTATGCCTCATGACTGTGTGTGTGTGTGTGTGTGTGGCTGTGTGGTACACAGTGGTCCTTGTAAGCGGGTGTCGGCATGCCTCGTCAGATTATATTGTATACGCCCAAACTAACTTAAAATGAATATTTGTCAATATTTTTGCCCAGTGGCTGGTTGTCTGAACAATACTCGATTATTAATGGCATGTACAGACGTCCGACATGTTATTTCCTTTAGATGAAACGGATGATGCGCTTCTTGCTAACACAGCCGTCAACTAATCTCTGCTCATGCGTTGAATTATTTGGCCTTTTCTTGCCTTTTCTATTGAATTGATATTCCTAAATGACATTCTGACAAACGACATCCTGCTTACCCAAAAAGTGCTGTGTAGCGGTAGGATTATTTCACATCATCAGCTGATAAACACAATCAGACACATCCTCCCTTAAAAATGTGAAAGTTAATGCTCCTTGCGCCGCATTTTTTTATTTTATTTTATTTGTCCATGGTTATCTTAAAGTTTAATGTCAGGAACTTTCTTTTATTTCTCTTCAGATCCTCACTTTTATACTGCCAATAATTTTCATTACATCCACCTCCCACCTCCTTCCTGCTCCCACAGGTCCAGCAGGATATATTGTAGGAGCAGCGTGAGCAGGGTGCTCAACCCGCTTTGTTGCATTCAGTTTGAACTTGTGTTTCTTGCAGGCGGGACTTGAGTCTGTACAGCACATATCAACACTGCTTTTGTTTTTTCGTGCAGTTGTTTTTGAGCATGTAATTGATGCTGCAGGTTGAACGATATGCAAAAGGTTTGTGCATCTCCGTTCGTTTTCATCAGTCCCTCGCTTTATGGAGATGCGTGCTCACAGTCAGGGTCAGAGGTCGTGATTCGTTGCTGCGCTGCGAGTGCTGGGTCCACAAAAGATCAAGGTCAGCGTATCTGAGATGCACCGCCTCATCCGCCTTCTCTTTGAAACGCCGCCGTGCGATGAACATACAGGACTGTCACGGATTTTCTTTCTTCTCTTTTTTTTAAGTCTCCTGCTCATCTCCTGTTATCTAAAGTTTCCAAAGGAACATGTTACTGTGACTGACTTTCACCAAAACAGACGGAAGGATTTGCTTTTCTTTGTATTTTGCTTGTGAGACTAATGTAACGCCGCAGAAGGAACTCGGTGCGTTTTGACTCCCCAGATCCACAACTGCCATAACAAGTTTACAGAGAAGGACGCTGAGGAAAAGCCTGACGGCACATGTTCAGGAATATCAGGACGGTCATCGTTTCAGCTGCCATTTTTATGTTCATCTACCTGACAAAGTATAATGTGACAGCAAATACAGTTTATTACTCTTTTCATGGATGGGCTTTTGATTTCGTACATTTTTTTTTTTCTATTTTAATTAACATGTTCAACACATCAGTGTATTTTTCAGGTAATAGATTTTCAGGCGATGGATTTTCAAGTGCTGTTCTGCTCAAATCTTATTCAAACGGTCGCGACAAGTGCCAACGTTTGTAACGATTTACGAGAATAATTCGCTGCAAATGAGCTTGATCGCCGTATTTGGAGAGGATATTGTGAAAGACGCTGCCAAAAGAAAAACTGGGGTCATGCAAAATGGAAGCGAGAGTCAGATTAAACAACAATTAACTGTGATGAGCGAAAACTGTCACTCCTGTGAGCAATTTGGCAATAAATGATCCAATGAAAGAAAATAAAGAAATGCTACGAATACGAACAGATGAAGCTGAAAAGCGTTCATTCAGTGTGGTCAGTGCTGCTTTTCTCCAACAAACCTCTGCTGATTATGATCACTTGCAAAGTCCTATTTAGGGTTTTAAACAAGTGCGTTAATTGGCTTTGGCACTTAATTAATAATAATAATACTTTTCCTATCTGCTTATTGGAGAATTGAGGGCGCAGATTGACTCTGCAATTACATTTTAGATGCTTTCCATTAACCAGTCAAAAAGCATAAATAATCTAACGGTCAAATTAAATAAAAGTCGAGCGAGAGCGCCGCTATTTCAGCGTTTTTGTTTCCGACAAAGCCGGCACCAAATAAATAAATAAAACTTTTTTTCTCAGCGAACCCCCTGGAGGCTGACTTGCTTGGAGATGGATGGTCTTATTCTTTTCTCTTTTTTTTTTTTTTGTAGCACCATCTTTGTTTGTCTCGGACCCACAGGAAAGCCAGACGTGAGAAAAACATCTAATGCGGCTATTGATGTCGGATCCTTTTTGTCGGAGGCCGACTCGGGTTACTTCCCCAGTTGACTGCAAACCGCCGCGAAATCACAGACGTTTCCAGTTTTCTAACACTCGTGATGCTTCGACGCTGCTTTTGTGTTTGAAGTCCGGCCAAAATTAAGGAATCGGTGCCCAAAAACCCGGGTGTGGATTTAAACCAGTGTCTAAATGACTACTAATTACTTCTGTTTTCATAAAATGAGCTTTATTTGTCATTTAAGCATCATTTACTAATTAAAAAAATGACCTAAAACACAGGCATGATTAATAAACCCAACACATGTTTTGAGCTTGTTTATCATGTGGCATATTTCTCCTGATTTATTTATTTTTCTTCCAGTCCCTTCCACACTCCCTCCCCTCCTCCAACTAAACACACACAACAAGAGTAGATGGCGAAAATGGAAAATGTGAGTCAGGATGAGTCACGGGCTGACGAAACCAAAATGACTCTTTTTCCTGAAAGGCAGGTAATGGGCAAGGTCTTCAGAGGAGGAGGATTTGGGCTGAATGCAGGCAGCCCGGCTCTGCTTGTGCATGAATCAGCAGCACGTTGCTTCCAATGAGCCACAACACACGCTCATAACAAAAGCCCCTTATTGCTAAACTTACCGCTAATTTCTCGGCTCTCGTTTTAAAGGCAGGCGGCTTCGTTTCCGCTTAATTCGGAGGCAGGTGACGGGCAGGTTTTAGCGCTGACAGACGGTGGGTTGCAAATCCTTTCATTTGGTATCTTTGGACCTTTTGTCTAATAGTCTATTAAGTCCATTAGCTGACTGTGTGGGAGATTAGCCCCGTGTGGATAACGTGCCAAATTTGATCAATTAAATAAACTATCCTGTGTGATAACCGCACAAGGGCTTACGTGATAAAAATTAAACGCATGCCATTTTTTTTGGTGTCGCTCTAATGTGAACGCGTCTTTATCTGAATAATAACAAAACAGGAAGTCGGTGGCGATAGCGACTCGTTTCTTGGTCGCTGCCAGAGCTTCTAAAA